ATGAATTTTTCAGCTATTAAAAATAATAAATTGTTTGGAATTCTTAATTTTTGGGTTAAGAGAAATCGTAGCAGTACCATGTTAGCGATTTGTAGATATGCATATTGTTCAATATATTTTGTTGATTAACATAGGACCTAAAAAAATGTAGCCTTCATTGTTTTTTGATGGAGTCGAAGACCTGAGATTTTATTAGACTGGACAACTGAAATGAAAACACCATTTAATCAAATCAAGCTTTCAACTCAGACACTTCAAAAAATAATTTAAAATTATTGAATTTGTTATTTTATGACCTATTTTAATTGGTTTATATATGCAGGTACACAGAGTATTTTGAAGCTGAGAGGTGCAAAGTACGCACTGTTTATCAATTCAAATGAAGAAAGTCCTTATGAAGGTTGATTGGAGCGTTAGGCGGCCATTCTTGGGGAGAAATCCTAAACAGATATAATCACTAGAGAACAAAGGTAAGAATTTTTCCTAATTGTTCATTTTATCCAGTTAGTGTTCACCGAATTTTATGTTAAATTTGTAACATATGAAGTATTTAGTATAATTATTATTTGTAAATGGCCCTTTGGTTGAAACATAATCATCAAAAGGTCGTCGGTTCCTAGATTAGTTGGACAAGCACCTCAATTCTTTCCTATCTTGAGCTAATCTTTATATTTCCCTAAAACTAGAACATCCCAAACCCTCAACTATTTGCAAAAGTAATCTTAATCTAAGTCTACCTCTACCCCCTTAATTCCTGTTTCTGCTTCTAATATGTCTCTGACTAGACCTTCATGGCTGAAATGTCCTCTGTTCTCATATTCTTCCTGATGCCTCTTCATTTCTAACCTTCTCTATCCTTGGTATCCTTATCGTCCACCCCATTTGGAACGCTTCTAACCCTTTCCTTGACTCGAAACATAATGTTACAGATTTAACATTAAATTCAGTGAAACCGCACAAGCGATTGATTATTCTCCTTTAATACTGTATTAATAAAAAGTTTTCCAGTGAGTGCACCATTGAACGTTTAAATAATTTTACCATTGTTTGTGACAATTATTTGATTCTACGTATACATCTTTCAAATAAAATGTTACCAGAGCTGATTTTCTCATATAATATGTTTTATTCAAACTTCTAAGGTTATTTAAATTTACAATCTATATTGTTTCCCCATTCCCTATCCTTCACGTTATACCTATAATACATCCTCAAAGAAAACATAACAAAAACACTGCAGTGTTTATTATGCTACCTCATACTAAATCTGTTACACGTCTTAATCCCTTTTCCACATATATTACATTATTTTTTCCTTCATCCAGTACATCCCTTTATTACATTCCATCCCCATTCTAAATCTCTTTATTACCGCCATATCTTTTCTGCCCTTCCCTCAAATATTTCGTTAATATATTTTCTTACTACACCTCCCACATAAATTGTTTCAACCCCTTCGCGTATTTCGACTTCTGTACTCCCCTCTAATTATCTAGTAAGTCCTTTTCATTTAGATTATTCCCTACATCCACTCTTTTGTTTCTTTATTCCTATAATTGTTTCTGACTTATTATTAATACATCTGAGGGGTTTTTCTCCTCTCTTATCATATTTTTTTCTTGGGTCTTTTTCCTGTAATTCTCCTATTTTTTCTTCGTTTCTTACTACTCTTTTTCTTGTTTCCTCTATCATCTTACCATACTTTGCTTCTCTTCTTACTATATAATCTGCTGTGCCTTTTTTTTTTTCTAAATTTAAAATCTATTTTATAAATTACATTCCCATATTTCCTACGTTCATACTCTATTCATCCCCAAATTTCTACCCCTTAACGTACTACACTTGTAATGATTCAGTTAATATTGCGTTATTTTGGAAATTAAGCCTTCCTTATGTTTGAACTATCAAATACGTTATCGATAATGTATTGCGTAGCTTTATACTTATATGCTAGTAAATTTCCCCCTTTTCATTTTATCAATTTAAATACTGCTCCACATTTGTTAAACAATTTACGTATATTGATGACAAAGGTTGAAAAGAAATATTTCTATAACATCATCGAATTTACGCAAGGCAGTTCATACTCGAGAAAATTTTGGGTTTGTAACAAACTAGTAATTTGCCGTTCGTAAATATATTTTGCGATTTATTTATTCATGTATTAGGATATATATTCTATAATTTCAATAAAATTATCAAATCCACTCGCTTTGTTCTCCTTTATCATTAGGTCATTCGGACGCTTTACGTTAAGAGATACGTTTACTATACCTGCTATAAATGTAGATACCTAACATTAAAACTTAATAATTAAATATTAAACTAATCTTATCCTGCATCTTACCCATTTAGACCTATACAGAATAAACAAAATCTAGTGTAAATATTTTGGTGTAATGTTTAAAAATGTATCCCGAAAAAATGTACTTTTCATAGCTTGCACGGATCTTAAATTATGATATACATCGAAAGTGTCGTAAACTGTAACATTTATCATAACGATAAAAAATAAAACATCCGTAGGAATGTTTGAACCGTAACCATGCTTATTTTCAAAAATTTACTAAAGTATACTCTGAATCAAGATTTGCTCATGCTGATATTTACCACAGATTAGAAATTAAGCTTTAAATAAAGTTGGTAGGGCGTCGCAAAGTGACGTCTTATCTAATGAAATCGAAGAAATTACAAACATTCGCAGCCATTTTGGCAACTGTTAGAAATATGATTTTGAAAATTCAAAACAGGCATTCCATGCAGCAAGGTATGCCCTTTTTGATTATTATCACAGATTTGAATTTCGACACTAAATGGGGTAGCTAGGGCGTCGCAAAGTGACGTCTTATTTAATGAAATCGAAGAAATTACAAACTTTCGCAGCCATTTTGGCAACTGTTAGAAATATGATTTTGAGAATTCAAAACCGGCGTTCCATGCAGCAAGGTATGGCCTTTTCGATTGTTATCACAGATTTGAATTTCGGCACTAAATGGGGTAGCTAGGGCGTCGCAAAGTGACGTCTTATTTAATGAAATCGAAGAAATTAGAAACCTTCGCAGCCATTTTAGCAACTGTTAGAAATATTATTTTGAAAATTCAAAACAGGCATTCCATGCAGCAAGGTATGCCCTTTTTGATTATTATCACAGATTTGAATTTGGACACTAAATCGGGTAGCTAGGGCGTCGCAAAGTGACGTCTTATTTAATGAAGTCGAAGAAATTACAAACTTTCGCAGATATTTTGGCAACTGTTAGAAATACGATTTTGAAAATTAAAAACAGACATTCCATGCAGCAAGGTATGCCCTTTTTGATTATTATCACAGATTTGAATTTGGACACTACATCGGGTAGCTAGGGCGTCGCAAAGTGACGTCTTATTTAATGAAATCGAAGAAATTACAAACTTTAGCAGCCATTTTGGCAACTGTTAGAAATATGATTTTGAAAATTCAAAACTGGCGTTCTATGCAGCAAGGTATGCCCTTTTTGATTATTATCACAGATTTGAGGTTTGGCACTAAATGGGGTAGCTAGGGCGTCGCAAAGTGACGTCTTATTTAATGAAATCGAAGAGATTACAAACTTTCGCAGCCATTTTGGCAACTGTTAGAAATACGATTTTGAGAATTCAAAACAGGCGTTCTATGCAGCAAGGTATGCCCTTTTTGATTATTATCACAGATTTGAATTTCGACACTAAATGGGGTAGCTAGGGCGTCGCAAAGTGACGTCTTATTTAATGAAATCGAAGAAATTACAAACCTTCGCAGCATTTTTGGCAACTGTTAGAAATATTATTTTGAAAATTCAAAACAGGCATTCCATGCAGCAAGGTATGCCCTTTTTGATTATTATCACAGATTTGAATTTCGGCACTAAATGGGGTAGCTAGGGCGTCGCAAAGTGACCTCTTATTTAATGAAATCGAAGAAATTACAAACTTTCGCAGCCATTTTGGCAACTGTTAGAAATATTATTTTGAAAGTTCAAAGTAGGCATTCCATGCAGCAAGGTATGCCCTTTTTGATTATTATCACAGATTTGAATTTCGGCACTAAATGGGGTAACTAGGGCGTCGCAAAATGACGTCTTATTTAATGAAATCGAAGAAATTACAAACTTTCGCAGCCATTTTGGCAATTGTTAGAAATTTTATTTTGAAAATTCAAAACAGGCATTCCATGCAGCAAGGTATGCCCTTTTTGATTATTATCACAGATTTGAATTTCGACACTAAATGGGGTAGCTAGGGCGTCGCAAAGTGACGTCTTATTTAATGAAATCGAAGAAATTACAAACTTTCGCAGCCATTTTGGCAACTGTTAGAAATATTATTTTGAAAATTCAAAACAGGCATTCCATGCAGCAAGGTATGCCCTTTTTGATTATTATCACAGATTTGAATTTCGACACTAAATGGGGTAGCTAGGGCGTCGCAAAGTGACGTCTTATTTAATGAAATCGAAGAAATTACAAACTTTCGCAGCATTTTTGGCAACTGTTAGAAATATTATTTTGAAAATTCAAAACAGGCATTCCATGCAGCAAGGTATGCCCTTTTTGATTATTATCACAGATTTGAATTTCGGCACTAAATGGGGTAGCTAGGGCGTCGCAAAGTGACCTCTTATTTAATGAAATCGAAGAAATTACAAACTTTCGCAGCCATTTTGGCAACTGTTAGAAATATTATTTTGAAAGTTCAAAGTAGGCATTCCATGCAGCAAGGTATGCCCTTTTTGATTATTATCACAGATTTGAATTTCGGCACTAAATGGGGTAACTAGGGCGTCGCAAAATGACGTCTTATTTAATGAAATCGAAGAAATTACAAACTTTCGCAGCCATTTTGGCAATTGTTAGAAATTTTATTTTGAAAATTCAAAACAGGCATTCCATGCAGCAAGGTATGCCCTTTTTGATTATTATCACAGATTTGAATTTCGACACTAAATGGGGTAGCTAGGGCGTCGCAAAGTGACGTCTTATTTAATGAAATCGAAGAAATTACAAACTTTCGCAGCCATTTTGGCAACTGTTAGAAATATTATTTTGAAAATTCAAAACAGGCATTCCATGCAGCAAGGTATGCCCTTTTTGATTATTATCACAGATTTGAATTTCGACACTAAATGGGGTAGCTAGGGCGTCGCAAAGTGACGTCTTATTTAATGAAATCGAAGAAATTACAAACTTTCGCAGCATTTTTGGCAACTGTTAGAAATATTATTTTGAAAATTCAAAACAGGCATTCCATGCAGCAAGGTATGCCCTTTTTGATTATTATCACAGATTTGAATTTCGGCACTAAATGGGGTAGCTAGGGCGTCGCAAAGTGACCTCTTATTTAATGAAATCGAAGAAATTACAAACTTTCGCAGCCATTTTGGCAACTGTTAGAAATATTATTTTGAAAGTTCAAAGTAGGCATTCCATGCAGCAAGGTATGCCCTTTTTGATTATTATCACAGATTTGAATTTCGGCACTAAATGGGGTAACTAGGGCGTCGCAAAATGACGTCTTATTTAATGAAATCGAAGAAATTACAAACTTTCGCAGCCATTTTGGCAATTGTTAGAAATTTTATTTTGAAAATTCAAAACAGGCATTCCATGCAGCAAGGTATGCCCTTTTTGATTATTATCACAGATTTGAATTTCGACACTAAATGGGGTAGCTAGGGCGTCGCAAAGTGACGTCTTATTTAATGAAATCGAAGAAATTACAAACTTTCGCAGCCATTTTGGCAACTGTTAGAAATATGCTTTTGAAAATTCAAAACAGGCGTTCCATGCAGCAAAGCATGCTCTTTTTTATTATTATGACCAATTTGACATTTAGCGCTAAATAAGGTAGCTAGGGCGTCGCAAAATGACGTCTTATTTAATGAAGTCGAAGAAATTAGAAACTTTCGCAGCCATTTTGGCAACTGTTAGAAATATTATTTTGAAAATTCAAAACAGGCATTCCATGCAGCAAGGTATGCTCTTTTTGATTTTTTACCACCGACTCGATATTTCGCTTTAGATAGAGTAGTTAGGGCGTCGCAAATGAACCTCCTATTTTATGAAATCGCACAAATCATAAACTTTTGCGGCCATTTTGGCAACTGTTAGAAATGGGATTTTGAAAATTCAAAACAGGCGTTCCATGCAGCAAGGTATGCCCTTTTTGATTATTGTCACAGATTTGAATTTCGGCACTAAATGGGGTAGCTAGGGCGTCGTATAGTGACGTCTTACTTAATGAAATCGAGGAAATTACAATCGTTCGCAGCCATTTTGACAACTATTAGAAATATGATTTTGAAATTTCAAAACAGGAATTCCATGCAGCAATGTATGCCCTTTTTGATTAGTATCACAGATTTGAAATTTAGCACTAAATGGGGTAGCTACGGCGTCGCAAAGTGACGTCTTATTTAATGAGCTCGAGGAAAGTGCAAACTTTCGCAGCCATTTTGGCAACTGTTATAAATATGATTTTGAAAATTCAAAACAGGCATTCCCTGCAGAAAGGTCTGCCCTTTTTTATTATTGTCACAGATTTGAAATTCAGCACTAAATGGGGTAGCTAGGGCGTCGTAAAATGACGTCTTATTTAATGAAATTGAAGAAATTACAAACTTTCACAGCCATTTTGGCAACTGTTAGAAATATTATTTTGAAAATTCAATTGAATTATTCCATGCATAAAGTTATTCTCTTTCTGATTCTTATGACAGGTTTCAGATTACTCTTTAAATAGGGTAGATAGGGCGTCGCAAAATGGCGTTTGGTTTTATGAAATCGAAGAAAACTCAATTAAAGTATCCCATGCATCAAGGGCTCTTTCTGATTTTTATCACAGATTTGAAATATAGTTTTAAACATAATAAGTGGGGCGTCTCATAGTGGCATCTATTTTTATGATACACTAGAAATATATGTTTTCGGTGGCATTTTTGACAGTCACTTAATTTTGATAATTTATTTAAGACGTTTGATGCACAAAATTATCATGCTTTGACTTTTAAGACGGATTTGAAATTAAACGTTAATTACGTGGTGTAGAATATCGCAAAGTAACACCTGGTTTTATGAAGTCGAAGAAAATTTAAATTTTCTCTTTTACTGGAGCTGGAACATCACAATATCTTGTCTTCTTTCGCATATTTCACGATTTTTGATAAAATGATTTCATTTTAAGAATTTAAAGTGGGAATTTGATGTATTAATGTTGGTTGTTTTTTGTTGTTTCAGAAATATCCACAGGCATGTTTGGTTCACGTAAAAAAATGACAACAAGGGATGGGTTTGCGGATTTTAAAGAAAATATGCGTCGAATTCTTCGGAGGTTTGACCAAAGTCGGAGTTCATCTTTGAGCTGCAATAAAGTCCTACAGTTTTCATCACAGAAATATCAATATGTAAACAAAGGTGGATTTATTGAACGAACTTAAAAATACTTCCAATTTTAACGCAATATTTATGGATTGATTTATCCTTCTTGTTATAGTTGAATATACATCTTATTTACTTCATATAATAATAATTGTTCTTGTATTCACTAAACAATTAGACAATTATCATTTAAAATATTTTATTTATTGAATAACTTACGTAATCAAAATCAATTACAAACAATATATGTTTATCTCAAGGTTTATGTATTAACGCAAAGTACAAAATCTTTTTTGTTCTTTACTTACCTTTTATTAATATTTGCGTTAATTATGGATGTATTTGTTTTTAAAAATCAATCCAGATTAGAACCAGGCTCTTTCACCAAATTTAATATGTTTAGGAATAAGCATGGTAATTATTTATTTAATTTTTTTATTAGACAAAGAACATCTTTAAAAAAATCAATTAATCCACTTTTGGTAGTCGCACTGTCCACAATATTTTTTAATCTTTGCGTTAATTATGAAAGTATTTGTTTTTAACAACCAACCCAGATTAGAACCAGGCTCCTTCACCAAATTTAATATGTTTAGGAATAAGCATGGTAATTATTTATTTAATCTTTTATTAGACAAAGAACATCTTTAAAAAAATCAATTAATCCACTTTTGGTAGTCGCACTGTCCACAATATTTTTTAATCTTTGCGTTAATTATGAAAGTATTTGTTTTTAACAACCAACCCAGATTAGAACCAGGCTCCTTCACCAAATTTAATATGTTTAGGAATAAGCATGGTAATTATTTATTTAATCTTTTATTAGACAAAGAACATCTTTAAAAAAATCAATTAATCCACTTTTGGTAGTCGCACTGTCCACAATATTTTTTAATCTTTGCGTTAATTATGAAAGTATTTGTTTTTAACAACCAACCCAGATTAGAACCAGGCTCCTTCACCAAATTTAATATGTTTAGGAATAAGCATGGTAATTATTTATTTAATCTTTTATTAGACAAAGAACATCTTTAAAAAAATCAATTAATCCACTTTTGGTAGTCGCACTGTCCACAATATTTTTTAATCTTTGCGTTAATTATGAAAGTATTTGTTTTTAACAACCAACCCAGATTAGAACCAGGCTCCTTCACCAAATTTAATATGTTTAGGAATAAGCATGGTAATTATTTATTTAATCTTTTATTAGACAAAGAACATCTTTAAAAAAATCAATTAATCCACTTTTGGTAGTCGCACTGTCCACAATATTTTTTAATCTTTGCGTTAATTATGAAAGTATTTGTTTTTAACAACCAACCCAGATTAGAACCAGGCTCCTTCACCAAATTTAATATGTTTAGGAATAAGCATGGTAATTATTTATTTAATCTTTTATTAGACAAAGAACATCTTTAAAAAAATCAATTAATCCACTTTTGGTAGTCGCACTGTCCACAATATTTTTTAATCTTTGCGTTAATTATGAAAGTATTTGTTTTTAACAACCAACCCAGATTAGAACCAGGCTCCTTCACCAAATTTAATATGTTTAGGAATAAGCATGGTAATTATTTATTTAATCTTTTATTAGACAAAGAACATCTTTAAAAAAATCAATTAATCCACTTTTGGTAGTCGCACTGTCCACAATATTTTTTAATCTTTGCGTTAATTATGAAAGTATTTGTTTTTAACAACCAACCCAGATTAGAACCAGGCTCCTTCACCAAATTTAATATGTTTAGGAATAAGCATGGTAATTATTTATTTAATCTTTTATTAGACAAAGAACATCTTTAAAAAAATCAATTAATCCACTTTTGGTAGTCGCACTGTCCACAATATTTTTTAATCTTTGCGTTAATTATGAAAGTATTTGTTTTTAACAACCAACCCAGATTAGAACCAGGCTCCTTCACCAAATTTAATATGTTTAGGAATAAGCATGGTAATTATTTATTTAATCTTTTATTAGACAAAGAACATCTTTAAAAAAATCAATTAATCCACTTTTGGTAGTCGCACTGTCCACAATATTTTTTAATCTTTGCGTTAATTATGAAAGTATTTGTTTTTAACAACCAACCCAGATTAGAACCAGGCTCCTTCACCAAATTTAATATGTTTAGGAATAAGCATGGTAATTATTTATTTAATCTTTTATTAGACAAAGAACATCTTTAAAAAAATCAATTAATCCACTTTTGGTAGTCGCACTGTCCACAATATTTTTTAATCTTTGCGTTAATTATGAAAGTATTTGTTTTTAACAACCAACCCAGATTAGAACCAGGCTCCTTCACCAAATTTAATATGTTTAGGAATAAGCATGGTAATTATTTATTTAATCTTTTATTAGACAAAGAACATCTTTAAAAAAATCAATTAATCCACTTTTGGTAGTCGCACTGTCCACAATATTTTTTAATCTTTGCGTTAATTATGAAAGTATTTGTTTTTAACAACCAACCCAGATTAGAACCAGGCTCCTTCACCAAATTTAATATGTTTAGGAATAAGCATGGTAATTATTTATTTAATCTTTTATTAGACAAAGAACATCTTTAAAAAAATCAATTAATCCACTTTTGGTAGTCGCACTGTCCACAATATTTTTTAATCTTTGCGTTAATTATGAAAGTATTTGTTTTTAACAACCAACCCAGATTAGAACCAGGCTCCTTCACCAAATTTAATATGTTTAGGAATAAGCATGGTAATTATTTATTTAATCTTTTATTAGACAAAGAACATCTTTAAAAAAATCAATTAATCCACTTTTGGTAGTCGCACTGTCCACAATATTTTTTAATCTTTGCGTTAATTATGAAAGTATTTGTTTTTAACAACCAACCCAGATTAGAACCAGGCTCCTTCACCAAATTTAATATGTTTAGGAATAAGCATGGTAATTATTTATTTAATCTTTTATTAGACAAAGAACATCTTTAAAAAAATCAATTAATCCACTTTTGGTAGTCGCACTGTCCACAATATTTTTTAATCTTTGCGTTAATTATGAAAGTATTTGTTTTTAACAACCAACCCAGATTAGAACCAGGCTCCTTCACCAAATTTAATATGTTTAGGAATAAGCATGGTAATTATTTATTTAATCTTTTATTAGACAAAGAACATCTTTAAAAAAATCAATTAATCCACTTTTGGTAGTCGCACTGTCCANTATTTAATTATATGTCCACCGTATGCTAAGAAAGTTTTTTTCAGTACCTTATTTAATATAGGCAAATAGTTTAAAATTAATAATTCAGTTATTCTATCCATTAGAACTAAAATAAGAAAGAAAATTGATGATATTTTTAAAGGACTCATTCCTAATACTAATTTTGGTGAAGGCGCCGGATTAAAATAGTATAAGGACATCTACGACTAACCCTCATTCATATTTTCACTTCATCACATCCTTTTTCATTCATATAAACAACTTCATCCTTCACATACTCGTTCTCTCTTATATTCACTCCCGCAATTATTTTCTCTTGCATACGACTCACCCTCATTCATATTTTCTCTCCTTCACATCCTTTTTCATTCAAACAAAGAACTGCACCCTTCACATACTCGTTCTCTCTTATATTCACCCTCGCAATTATTTTCTCTTGCATACCACTCCCCCCCATTCATATTTTACCTCCCTCACATTCTTTTCACTCTTACAAAAAAATTTCGTTTTGATTAAACGAAACTAAGAAAATGTTATTTATAAAGGAAAGAAAATGTTATAAACCATTAATATAAAAATTGAAAATTTGCCTCAAAGTAATGAAAACACTAAGCCAACNTTATGAAAGTATTTGTTTTTAACAACCAACCCAGATTAGAACCAGGCTCCTTCACCAAATTTAATATGTTTAGGAATAAGCATGGTAATTATTTATTTAATCTTTTATTAGACAAAGAACATCTTTAAAAAAATCAATTAATCCACTTTTGGTAGTCGCACTGTCCACAATATTTTTTAATCTTTGCGTTAATTATGAAAGTATTTGTTTTTAACAACCAACCCAGATTAGAACCAGGCTCCTTCACCAAATTTAATATGTTTAGGAATAAGCATGGTAATTATTTATTTAATCTTTTATTAGACAAAGAACATCTTTAAAAAAATCAATTAATCCACTTTTGGTAGTCGCACTGTCCACAATATTTTTTAATCTTTGCGTTAATTATGAAAGTATTTGTTTTTAACAACCAACCCAGATTAGAACCAGGCTCCTTCACCAAATTTAATATGTTTAGGAATAAGCATGGTAATTATTTATTTAATCTTTTATTAGACAAAGAACATCTTTAAAAAAATCAATTAATCCACTTTTGGTAGTCGCACTGTCCACAATATTTTTTAATCTTTGCGTTAATTATGAAAGTATTTGTTTTTAACAACCAACCCAGATTAGAACCAGGCTCCTTCACCAAATTTAATATGTTTAGGAATAAGCATGGTAATTATTTATTTAATCTTTTATTAGACAAAGAACATCTTTAAAAAAATCAATTAATCCACTTTTGGTAGTCGCACTGTCCACAATATTTTTTAATCTTTGCGTTAATTATGAAAGTATTTGTTTTTAACAACCAACCCAGATTAGAACCAGGCTCCTTCACCAAATTTAATATGTTTAGGAATAAGCATGGTAATTATTTATTTAATCTTTTATTAGACAAAGAACATCTTTAAAAAAATCAATTAATCCACTTTTGGTAGTCGCACTGTCCACAATATTTTTTAATCTTTGCGTTAATTATGAAAGTATTTGTTTTTAACAACCAACCCAGATTAGAACCAGGCTCCTTCACCAAATTTAATATGTTTAGGAATAAGCATGGTAATTATTTATTTAATCTTTTATTAGACAAAGAACATCTTTAAAAAAATCAATTAATCCACTTTTGGTAGTCGCACTGTCCACAATATTTATTAATTTTTGCGTTAATTATGGATGTATTTGTTTATAACCAACCCAGATTAGAACCAGGCTCCTTCACCAAATTTAATATGTTTAGAAATAAGTTTGATTATTATTTACTTAATCTTTTAGTAAAAGAAATCAATTAATCTACTTTTGATAGTCCCACTGTCCATAATATTTAAGAAATTTATTTAATGTAATATTTAATTAACATATACTGATATATATGTACCTATGTGTTATGGTAAGATTAATTTAATTTAAGTTGAAGTATTAATTAATATTTAGGTAGAATGTAAATTATTTATTCAATTTTTTTAGGATGTTACCATTTATCTTGAGATTTATCTTTACTTACCAGTAGATTTATTTATATCGCTGTAATAATAAACTAATTGGGACTTGGGAACTTATTATGGGGTGAGAACGATAATATGAAAGAGAATTTGTACGACAGTGAGGGAGACTATTGGTGAATGTATCTGACAATATGAAGGTGAAAGTAGTATGTAGATTGTGTGGAAGAATGTGATGAGGGTAAAAATGTGTACGAGTGGGTAGATACAGGTGAGAGTTTGAGGGGTAGAATGAATGAGGGTAAGAGAAAGTGAACATGGGTATGTGTGTGAGAGAAAACGAGACTGAGAGTACGTAAGAGATAATGAAAGAGGGTGAAAGGAAGATAATGAATGAAGATATTGCATGTGTGATAGGAAATGAGGGTGAGAATGTGTGTGAAAGGGTCTGTATGTAAGGGAGGTACAAATTTTATTTACACTCCCTCACATACAATACTCTTTTACACCTATTCTCACCCCAGGAATGAATAAGGGTGTCAATGTGTGTGAGAGGAATGTGTTTGAATGCGTGGGAGATAATGAGGGTGAAAGTGTATGTGTGACGGACTGAGAGTATTGATTGAGAAGGTGAGAATGTGTGAGACAGAGGGGTTGTCTGTGAGAGAGAAAGAATGAGGGCGAGAATGTGTGTATGAGCGAGGGTATGTGTGTGAGAGAGAGAGTATGAATTTGTACTCTACTCTCTCTCACACACACGCTCTTTCTCAGGCACACACTCTCGCCCTCGGCGTGAAAGGGGGTGAGAATGTTTGCGTGAGAGTGTGTGTGTGAGTGAGAGAGAGAGAGTACAAATCCGTACTCATCTCTCTCACACGCACTCTCTCATACACACACTCCCACCCTTCGGTATGAATGAGGGTGTGAATGTTAAGGGGGCGATGCCCCCGGGGCAAGGGGGGAGATAAGGGGGCGATGCCCCCGGGGCAAGGGGGGAGATCAAGGGGGGAGATACAAATAAAACAAGAGATAACCTTATACCGTGTTTTATTTCAAAAAAAAATTTTTCAGGCCTACCAGGTTTAGTGCGAAAGGTTTTGTTAATTCGACGAGCGTCCGGGTCAAGGCCCGGACGTTGGAGTGTCCAAATTCGAACTAAGTGGTCCCCAAGACCTGGAAGTCGGAACTTCCGGGATACCAAGTCTCAGAAACTTCGAAATTCGAGTCCCAAGTTCTCCAAAACAAAGGATCCCGAAGGAATCCGATGTTTTGGAGGCCTTGAGATTCGAATTCCGAAGTTTCCAAGACCCAGGACCCCGGAAGTTCCGAGATTCCGGGTATTGGCGACTTCGAAGTTCGAATCTGGACGCTCCAGAACACTCCCGACGCGACACTCCCGATCGAAGTCCCACGACGCTGCTTGGTCCTGATGAGTACCCACCTGCAACAAAAAGATAATTGTGTTATTATATATCAAACAATGATAAAGAAAAGAAACATTTTATGGTTAAAGTTAAATATTCCCCTTGTAATTGTTTATGACAGTTATATTTTAAAAACTGTGAAAATTAAATACAACTGTAATAAATAATTACAAGAAAAAACGCTTAAAAATAACTATAAGAATACATAATTACGATAAAACAAAAAGACCATATTAAATTAAATTGTATACAAGTAAACATGAACTATTCGGGTAAATAATCCA